GTGCATCGTACCTCTTCCCAAAGTCGTGCTCACATTTTGGTTTCCGTAGAAGATCGAGTTGTGGGAGCCAACAGTTGAAGCTATCACTACAACTACAAAACTATGAGGATCAACACTAGTCAAGTCTTTTCAAAATGGTTGCTAGATAAGAGTTTCTACCCCTACAATGAGTTAAGGGCTTCCAGGTACAGCTTTGAGTGCAGGTATGTTTTGCTGGAAGCAGGAGTGGTCCAGCATCCCAGTTTCAGGTCCTTGAAATGTGTGGCAGTGAGTAGCTTTGACACTCCCAGCTTGGAACAACTCATCATGAGTGGAAGTGCCAAGCCCATGACTCCTGATATGAGCTTCATTCTTGATAGCATGGAGTGTTGGGGATATTACCATAATATTGAGTGGTACAGTATTGTTCTTGACATGATAGCCACCATGTTTGAAGAGGATAAGCCTACAAGAAAGGAAAGGATGTGGAAGCAATGCATTTACTGGAGAGTTAGAAGCAGGGCCCATGCAACTTATGAGTATGACTCTCTTGGCCATGATGCAGTGTTGACTTACTGGTCTGATTGGTTTGACAGGACCTTTCCAATGCCCATAATCTCCTTTAGGGTGATGACACTGATGAGTGAGGATTTTGTTAGTGACATCATTACCTACATCCAGATAAGGGGAATTGTTCCTTACCCTCCCAACATGGATGGACCTGACTCCATCACTAGCTCTGAAGATTGAGGAATGAAAAATGTCTTTGTTGGTGTTTGATATCAAGATAGTGGCACAGTAACAATAGTGGAATAACTTACAACTGGACTCTTGAAACCATTCATTTACAGAGGTTTCCAGTCTAACATGGATAGCTTTGCTGCAGGTAGGACCAAACCCATCATTAGGACCATGACAATCCTTCCTCTGAAAGCATCTTCCACAGTAGCCCCTTGTGCAGGACCTTGCAACTCCCTCCTCAGTAGTCACATGGTCACCCTTTTTGAAACCACAAGTACAACAATATTTTCTGCTTCTGAAGACTCTGCGCTTTGGCCTTGGGGGAGCCTCTTGAGGAACAACTGTGAGAGCAACTCGGTATGCAACAGTGGCAACAGCAGGGGTGAGATTGCCATTGGCAGCAGCAACAGCCAAGGCGCCAACAGCTACCTCTGGATTCAAAATTGTTGGATTGCCGAATGGAGTTTGTCCAGTGTTGCTGTATGCCGGTGGACTGGTGTCATGTATTCGAGGCTCGGCATCTTCTGAAATTCGTTGCCGGTTGGCACGAAGCTGGTTGTCCAGAGCTTGTCGGTCATTCTCATTGGTTGGAGCGGCACGTAGACTTTCCAGTTCCTGTAATTTGTCATAGTGTTGCTGTAGAAGAGAGCGGCTCTTGTATCTGAGCTGGACCACATTGGATTGATCCCCTTGGCTGCTCCAGAGCTTGAATCGCCGGGAAACTTCTTCGTTCCAGGTCCTTTCGAATGACTTGTAACTCCGAGGGCCTGTCTGTGCCGATCTGTCATACCGACTTACCCACTCATCGAACAACTCAGATTCGGCATTGTCAATGTCGCTGGCTCTGGTGGTGCTGTCAGGTGATCGAAAGGGTATCCATTCACATTGGTTGGTGAGGCGTTTGAATGCTTCAAGAGTTGATTCACTACCACTATCAGTTGGCAGCAAGCGATTGAGCTCATGTTGGATGAGCTCTTTGTTTGCTTTGTCATTGGCTCTGGCTCGCTCTTCTGCATCGCTCAATTCAAGTTGTTGGCGAGCACGGCGTTGATTACCTGCAGCAGCAGTTGCTGCTAGTTGCTGCAAGCAACTCTTCTTCGGTAGCGAACACTTCAATATCCATGTCATCGCCCAAACGACCACCAAGAACTCGCTGGATTTCTTCTTGTGACTCAGGAACGTCTTCAGTGTCACCGGTTTCTTCCTCATTTTCATCTGACCCGTAGCCTTCCTCTATTCCATCTGTAGGATTGGACACTTCCAGCATTTCAGGCATCGCGGAATAGCTAAAGCCCATGTATTCTTGCTTGTAGTCATCAGGTTTCTTTGGAGCACCAAGCGAATATGGGGACTCCTTGAAACCAACCTTTTGTGCATATGCGTTCAACAGAAGTAGCTTCTCTGTATTCTGGATCTTGTAATCCTTGCCACCAAGCCGGATAACAGCCTTCCTGTCGTTCCTTTCTTCAAAGAAGCAACACATAATTCGCTCTCCCCTGTGTACTCCTATTAAAATGAACCAGTTAGCAAATCAGTGGTCAAAATTCAAAAAACGCGACCTTTCAATGGAACATGACTTACCAATATATGTAGCCAACAGTAGAAGAGCAAGATCGAGGTTGTCACGTTCATTGGTATTGGTTCCCCTAGCCACATACGTGATGTCAGACACCGGATTTCGCCGGAAAATATCGACCAAGCTGCTTGGAGGATCGCTTAAGCAGCCCTTGTCAACATGGACCATCTGCTTTCGGACAATCTCAGTCAGCTTCCATTGCTTGAAGAAGAGTCGCGGTCTTGCTGAAGTATCATCTGCCGGTCTCTGGGAGAGCACTCGATAAGTCTCAGTGTCCTTCATTTGAATGTAGTTCAATACTGCCTCGATATTGCTTCGAAGAGTGGCTGGTTCTGGGATAATGGAATTCGCCTCCTTAAGAATCTCCTTCACTGTTGGTTCCCTTTTCAGCTTAGCTTCCATCTTGGCTTTGGCTCTTTGGAATTCATCTGGTGTCACAACGAATAAGGCTCGAGACACGAAAAATGCCAGCTTGGAGTGAAGAGTTGTCAACCATTAAATCATTCCATCGCTTCAGCCAGTGGAAGGGATCAAGGAGGATCTTGATAGAGCCACCAAAGACTTCCAACAACGTCTTTCGAACATTGCAACAGTTGTCCACATACACCACCTTCACAGAGTTTTCGAGTGGACAGTTGTCGGGCCTATCCATGTGGGCATGGAAGTTTCTGTTCAGCCGATCTCTCAACCGGATCAAATCTTCCTTGATTTTGCTGAATGATTCAGAGTGCTTCAGAGCTTTCCAGAAAACAGTCAGTCCATCTTCATTTTGAATGGTCACGATGCATTGGTATGGTTGGAAACTGCTGCCTTGTTTCGTCCACACTCTTATCTTCTGGGCCAGCTTATAGTTGAAGTCAATCTTCAGAAGGGTGGCAACAAGACCAAGCATCTTCATCTCCTGATACGCCTCTGGTGTTGGAAATGATGCATCACCAAACTGTCGATCCTGTATTTCGAAAGCACCCTTCCATTATATCCCATTTTGTCAGAGAATTCGGAAAAGGATACAAGTTCTGGTTGATCGGTTCCATTATTGTCTCCCGCTTCTCCATCTCCATTCCCTTCTGCTGCTTCCAACAATTGCCCTTCATTATCCCTTCGATACGCGCGAAGAGCATCCACACACCAGTTGTATGCAGCCAAGGCGACATCAACTTCTCCTTTGCGAGTGGTCACTTCCTCATTGAATCGATCAAAATGCTTCCTGATAATGCCCTTCCAATTACCAAGGGGCTTGATGGTTCTCTTGTAATCTCTTGAATCAGCCGCAAGCACTTCGAAGCATGTCTTGATACCATGTTCCAACAATTTACGGATTTTTGTTGACCCCAATCCCCGACAGACATTCCTGCTGCCATGATGATTGTGATTGTCCTTGGATGGAAGCAGCGAACGAAGTGGAATGTCTGTATTCGCGCGATTTCTTGCAGACTCTTCTCGAGCTCTGGCGGATCGGAGATCTGCGGTTGCCCTGTTACACCTGTTAATCAAACCTTGGTGTTCTGCATTGGTGGATTCCGGAGCTGGCAGCATCTCTAAAATTGTCCGCTGTTTCTTCTTTGGACGGATTTTGTCAAGGCCAATGGCGGTAAGATAGAGCTGGTGGTCCTCGTAGTACGCTGTGTGAGCCATCCGATCAAGCTTCTTTGCAATAGCAGCTGTTGCTTCTTTGTGGGAGCTCTCAACAATCAGACTGTGTAATTCGTCATCCACAGCAAAACCATGGCCCAAGTAGAATGTAAAGAACCCATAGTAAAGGGAGGAATCCAGCTGCATGGATTCCTTGTTGTACCCAGCGAACCGTCTTCCACATCTGGTACAGAGATAGAGCACGGTGTCTAAATAGCTGATTCTGGAGACGCCGTATAATACCTTGGGACAGTTCACCCATCGCGATTTCTGAAGATCGACTGCATCCCTCTTCTTGCAGTGTGGGCAACAAGGAACATGGTGTGGCACAAGGATGTGGGGTACCCAGACGGCCATGGGCTTAACATAAAAGTGCTCCACCGTCGTTTTCTTTCCACGCTGGTCCAGCAACATGCTGTCGAATCTGCCTCCTCTTGATGGCTCGATTCTCTTCCATACTCTGGGTGGTTTGAAGAACCCTTTGGCGTCGTTGTCGATTGCATCTCTAGTCTTCAATACAAAGCGCCACTGAGGAGCTGAAAGCTGCCGTGGTTTGTTGCGATTTCGTTGGCTCATGGTGAGGTGTCTATTATCTTGTGGTGAAGTATCGCATTGGTCCATCCAAATCGTTCAAACCCTTGGTAGGGTTAGGGCGCGCGAGGACAGAAATTTCGCCCCTCTAATTACAATATTTGGGCGGGTGTGTAAACTAGAGTAGAGTTAAACCTAAGAAACGGACGTGGGAGAAATAGAGGTCCGACATTGAAAGATTACACGTGGAAGCAGGTGAGAAGGAAGGGAAATATTCGCATCGAACTTGGACGCTCATCCTCCCCCCCCCCTTCTTTTTTCCTCCTTCGCGGGACCAAGTCATATCAAAACCCCTTTGCGCCTCCGATTCTCTCTTCGTATTGAGTTGGGTTTATCTTCCTGACACTTTGTCGCCATTGACATTGGCTTTGAGCGACACGCAATAAATTCTATTTCCACCATTTCTTCTCTACACTCCCGACACGCAGCGGCGACAGGCAGTGCAGGCAACAGCTACCACGATCAGTCTCCAGTGTTGCCCATGGCACGCAGCCACAAGCGAAAGCGACGCATTCCTCCTGTCAGTCCACCAACGAAATCCTTGCGATTCATTTCCATTGCCACAATCTGTTTCGTGTCCTTTATTGCCTTTGCTGTTCTGTGCTCCGCCCTTAGCCATCATCAGCGAAATACTCCCCAAAACAACAACAACAATAGATTGAAGAAGAAAATGACAACCACAAAGGTTCGATTTGACACTCCCGAAGAAATACCAGATGATATTGTGAAATCCTTGGATGCCATTTTGGTTCTGGGTGGTGGTGTCCCACTGTCGTTGGAAGAACCACCGTTGTTTGTCCAAAAACGCTGTGATGATGCGGCCAAGATAGTCCAACGATACACAGAGATTTTCAACCGCAACAATCTGCCCATTTTGACACTTTCTGCGGGGACGGCCCATTTGCCACAATTGCTCAGTGGCGATGGTCTGCCCATTTGGGAAGCGACCGCTTCGGCTGCCTACCTGATAAAGCACTACTCTCCGGACACGATTGACAAGTCGCAAGTCTTTGCCGAGACCACTTCTTATGATACCATTAGCAATGCATTCTTTGCGAGAACATCTTTTACCGATATCACTGGATGGAGGCGGCTCTTGATCATCACCAATGAGGTAAATACGGAATTTTGCAGGAAGAGGTTGATTCGATTTATTTCACATTTGTTTATTAATGCGTGTCCTCATCTCATCATTTCACTCGCTACTTTCAAACTCAAACTTTGTCGATGCAGTTCCATATGGATCGATCACAAGCCATTTTCGATTGGATCTTTGGCATTCCAGACAACAACAAGGGCAGCAGCAGCAACTACCAACTCTACTATCTAGCACCACCAAACACGGGTCTTACGGACGAGGCAGTCCAAGCACGAAAGCAAAGAGAAGCCAAGAGTCAAAAGAATGTACAAGAGATATTGGCGCCCAAATATCAAACCATAAAGGGGGTATGGACATTTCTGACCCAAGAACACTCGTTGTATACGGCTCACAAGTTGGTGGAAAGGGGAAGAGCCAAAACAGAGGAAACGGCGACGAGTGAAGAAAATCAAGCACTCAAAGAGAGCTATGGGTTGAACAACAAAGGCAAATAATATGCATAGTATCAGTAAAATAGAATCATCAGCTAGCCAGCTTGCAGATGGTAAAAGTAGAAAGCTGTGGCTGCTGCTCGGTTCAACCCCCCCAGTCAAGGACAAGGACACTTGCAACACTTGCGTGAGCTGTTCTTCCACTAGCTCAAGATCTTTGCAATCAACACAATCTGCAAGAGCCAACTATCCCTACCGTATCTAGCTAGCTACTAGCTACGCATTGCTCAGTTGCCCAGGAGGGACCCCTTCTTGTGATGGCCTCTGTAGTTGATCAAGATACTGCCAACTGATCTTCTCGTTCGGTATGTTCGGTATAATACGTGGCGGGTGGGAAGAGTTAACGAAAACATATCTTTTCCTTGAGATCGCATAAGTGGTGAGCATGAAAAGAACTATCTCAGAGCACAGAGCAGGGCGTTGACCAGGTGCTTTCACCAGGTTCCAGGTGCTCATTTTTTCACGGCAAACCAGATCCGCACCTTGCAATGATTTGTTTGATCAAGCAAGGATCAAGTTGTTGGTTGTTGTTCTTCGCAGCATACTCCTGTGAAGAGGAAAGACAAATTAGTTCGTTCACCACCATGATTATACGTGACGCTTTTATTACATTGGCCTTTGTGGCTACCATTGCCACCGGAGAGAGTCTCCTTCGAATTCCCAAAAAAGTGGCGGATGTGGAAGAAGGGGGTGGAACCGTTGGCATGGTTCGCACAGCCAACAATAGAGCCCATTTCCGACAGCTCGATTCCGAATCGAGCGATTCAGAGGATACTGGTAGCACTTCCAGCGATTCGGGCGACTCTGGCGACTCTGGCGACTCTGAGTCTGGAAATACTACTACTACTACCGAAGAGTCGGCACCGCTCGAATTGGAAGCCAATTGGTGGGAGAACATTGACACTGACGAGTTTATGCAAGATCCGCTGGGATTCCTCAGTAGCAATGCAACGGCGTTCAAGGATGGTGAAGACGAAGATGACGAAGATGATACTTCAGGCGACCTTATCGAACCAGACGAAAGCACTGATTCCGGAGACGGAGACGTTGGTTCTCAGAACTTTTGGGATCAAATTTGGAACGACATACAGACTGATAACAACTTGACTCCGGAGGACGAGGAGATCTTGGATCATCTTGACGAAAGCAACAATCCATTTGGTGGTGCAGGCTCTGGATCTGGCGATATTTCTCCTTCCCCTGCTTCTTCTTCTGACGATGACGATGATGACGATGACGACGACGACGATGATAGTGATGATTCCAGTGACGATACTAGCACAGAGTAAGTAAGCAAGTCATGGCTTGCTGCATCGTCCGTTCATGTGTCACTTTTAGGATGCTTGGACTTGTCAAGCAAGCAATGGAGCTTTAGAATTACAAAGAAAAACTTGTGGGTAAACCGTGGTATATGTATATGAGTTCCATCAAAGGAATGGACAATATTCTAGAGCTACGGTATAGTCAGAGCTAGCTTTTCATAGTCAGAGCTAGCTTTTCTAGCTAGCTATTGTTGGTGTTTCTCCTGACCCGCGCCTCTATCATACATGTACCGGTACACCGGTACCGGTACCGACCATGCTACCGCACGGTGTGGACAATAACTCCAGAAAAATACTGTACCGGTAGTTGTGGAAAGAGAGGTCAAACCTTGCGCTGAATACATCCTTGATGTAAATAATAATGTGAAGGGCGTTCGTGTCTATTTTATAGCCTTTATAGGCTATTCTTGAGCCATTGTAAGGACTATGAGTGCTTTCCCCATTGACACGATTCCGCGTTCTGCAACCTTGCATGTTCTGATGGATCTTTGAGCAGTTTGATCCCAGCAAAGATCGCAGAAAAAATCAAACAACCAAGAACCCCAAACAACCAAACCAGAAGATAAGACAAACCAGAAGACAATCACAACAAACAAACACAAGACAAACCATGGTGGCACCCAAGCACCCAAAAGATTTCAGCTGCGATGAAGTCGGCATGTGGCTGGTAGCCATTGGCCTCGGCTCCAAAGTGGAGCTGTTCGATGTCGCTGGCGTGGACGGCAGCATGTTGGTCATTCTGAGTACCGACGACTTTGCCGAGTTGGGTCTCAGTGGCCTACAAGGCAAGAAGCTCATGACGAGTTTGGAAAGCGCCAAGGCCATGGCAGAAGGCGGTGGTGGCGGAGGTGGTGTCGATGAAGCCACTGCGAAGCGCTTGCAGGAACTCGAAGATGAGAATTTTGCTCTTCGTCAGCAATTGGCAGCGTATCAGCAGGCGTCAGCTCCTCCTCCAGAACCTGCCCCAGAACCTGCTCCAGCACCGGCACCAGCCCCACCACCGCCGCCAGTACACCATGCCCCTGCTCCGGCTCCTCCACCGCAAAGAAGGCAAGGTGCCGTTACGTAAGTAATATGCGTTTGGACAACAGGAACTTGTTTATTCTTGCCTTGGCTTGTGTAGTAGTCACTCACTCATCCCTATACTCTCTTTCCTTTTTCATTCTACGTTTTGTATTAATATCCAGTGGCCACGTGGTTGCCGGAGCTGCCGGTGGTGCTGCACGAGGTGCCATTAAGGGTGCCGTTGTTGGAGCGGTCCTTGGAGATGCCGGCAAAGGTGCCGCGGCTGGAGCTGCTGGAGGTGCTGTGGGTGGAGCCATGGGCGGCCTCGGTGCTCGTCGTCGTGCCCGTATGAGGGCTCGTCGGTAAACACACCCAAACAAAAGAATGCCAAAAAATTGCACCGTTTGTCACACGAAAATTGGCGTAGCCAGACCCCCCAAAAGTTCCTGCTACCGTACCAGAGTTTGCCAGATCAAAAGACAAATAATACCATATTAAGAGAATCTACTCAATGAATTAGAAAATGATGTTGTGGTGAACCCAAGTGAGAAATAGAACACTCGACATTTTCCTTTGGTCTAGCTTCTATTGGAAATTATTGTGGTGTTTTAGTGGGTGCACTGTGGTCTAATAACCTTCCCTTACTTCCATTTTCCAATGTGGATGTCGTGAACATTTGTCGTGAACATTACATGAGTTCAACCCAAAAGACTGTTTGCTACTAATTTAAAAAGTAAAAGCAAGATAATCAAAATGTGTGTGTTTTTGTTCTGATTGCTTATAAAAACCACTCTCAATTATAAAACCAAACTAACTACTCAGTAATTGAAGTCATTGTGATGTGTGTGCTGTGAATCGGGGCATGATCATAGTACCTTGCTCGCTACTCACTCTGTGACGGATTGTCCAGCCAATTCCGAGACAGCGTTCACGCCGGGGTCGGTAAAGGCTTCGTAGGCAACGATTTGTCCTTTGTCGTTAAACGTCAACACGGCAATATTTTCGTGGTACAATTCCTTGGCATTATTGAATCTTCCTTGCTCCATGATGCATCGAGGACCCAACAGGCCAATGCACTGACACTCCGTCTTGAGGAAGTCTTGTTCCTTCAAGTCGGCAGTGGCCATATCCACAAACGTCTTCCAATCCAGTGTCGCTTCTTTGTTCTCATCCGAAATGGTAAAGCACGCTTCGTTGCCGTCGCCGCCTTGAATCACCACTTCCACAAGGTACGGCGCAAACAAAGCTTTGAAATCGCTAATGTCGCCTTCTTTGACAGCCTTGGTCACAGCGGGCCCCCATTTCGCAACCGCATCAGTCACTGCTTGACTCAAGTCGATTTTCTCTGCTGGAGCGGATTCTTCTGCCATTGTTATTAAAAAATTATTGAGTGCTATGATCTTTGGTTGTGTGGAAGTTCCGAGGTCGCCGAAGACAGTTCAGTGGGAGCTGCCTAGTAGTAGAGATGAGGGATTGGAACCAGCGACAAAGATCCAACCACTGGGTCGATCGTACCGATATCTTTTTCGGTGGTTCGTGAAAATGCGAATGTGCCAAGATCACTTCTTTTTACTTGTATGCCACACATGTACAGTATCAGGCCTTTTCTTGACATAACTAATGGGCACCCGTTTGTAATGCAGTGAGGCTGTCAAAAGGTAACTTACCAAATGGAGTGCCCAGGCACTTAATGAACTCACTGGTACCGTACACGTACCGTACACTAGCTAGATGCAGACAACATGTATGTAACCAATCAAATGATCTATGATACGGTAGACTTCAAAGAGCTCTACTAAGACAATTGTTTGACAAGCCAAACATACCTACTGAAAGATGGAGATTCAATCATCAGCTACTAGCTACTAGTAGTACGTTCTTTCAGTATTTTCTTCCGCCTTTTCAAGTTCTAACGGCGTACGGTTGCACTTTTTGTGGTCCCTTCCTACTCTTCCAACGTCTCCACTTCCTCCAAGCTTGTAGAACCAGACTCAGACTCGGATCCAGACTCGGACGAGCTTCCTTCCTCGGAGGAACTGCCGCTTTCGCTACTTTCCCCAGACTCAGAAGAGCTGCTGCCTTCTTCAGAAGAGGAGGAGCTGCTGCTTTCCTCAGAAGAGCTGCTACTTTCGTCAGAAGAGGAAGAGCTGCTGCCTTCATCAGAAGAGCTCCCAGTCTCCTCGGGCAATGGCGCTTCACCACTATACTCCAGCTTTTCGTCTGATTTCTCCAAACTGGTGGACTCTCCAGCAATGAAGTCCGCAATGCTGTTGTTGTTCCAAACGTTCTTCGTCGTGGTGTTATCCAAAAGAAATTCAATGTCTTCCTCTAAAAGTTCCGCATCAGATTCGTCGTCTTGTAGCTTTCGGACGACAGGCCTGCGAACCATACCAATGGTTCCACTGCCCTCGTCGACATCGGCTTCAGCTTCTTCATGAATCGCAGATCTGAGGAGCTTGCTATTTTCCCCAGAAGCAGCCAGGATAAGTGTGCTGGCCACAAGGGCCAGGAGTGAGATTCGGACATTCATTGATTGACGACGATGTTTTGCTTCAGATAGCTAGCTAGTTAGGACGTCCACTTGTGGATGCATACCCGTTACAGCACCCGTTGACAACTAGTAAAATGGAGCTCCATCCACTCGACGCTCGAAATTGTTGGTTTGTGGAGGTCGCATCGCTCTCCGACCATCTGGTGTATCTTTCTTCCAAAACCCCAACCTAAATGATCATTGTACAGGAAGGACCGCACTTTGTCGAATTGCGTTGGCGTTCTGGCAATCAAAAGAGCAAACCAATTCTAAAAAGTGACCTTGACAACAACTATCATAACCACGATAATAGCTACTCAGTAGCAGTCTAGTCAACAGTGGCCACACTCAAAAAAGCTCTAACTCAAAGTTGGAGATTTTCGTTGGTTTCCTTAAAAAATTGTGTCTGGAAGTGGGCACTTCGACGTGCTGAAGGCCAGAACCAATGGTTGCCCATGGGACCCAATCACATGCTTTTCCTTTGTTAACCTGAGCACCTATATTTGTTACGCACTATTGTACAGTTTTTGAGGGGATAGAAGATTCACTCCTCAATGTTGGCTCTATCCTTGTGGACACAGCCATGATCCCATCTTCCAGCAAGCAACACATTGATAGAACCCTTGGGCATGCTGGTTTAGTGAAAGCACATTCATTGCCACTGTTGCTCATTGTGTTCAGAAGCGGGAGTCAAGCCCCATGAGCGACCCACGCAGTTGTTTGTCATGGGAGCTGGCATTGCATACTGCCCATTCAGCCCGTGTGTCAGGCATATCTTCTGGGTGTGAGGTCGAGTGAGTGCTTGTGTATGCAATGCTCAGGTCCATTGTAGTTGCCTTCAAAGATATATCTACTTGCTCTAAGATTTCTTCTGGCTTTGCTTTGCTCACACTGCCAGTAGCAGTTGGAGTATCGTGCCACTTTGAAGCTTCAATGACAAGATGCCTCCTGCTCGCTTCGCTCTGGGCTTTGAGGGCAGTAGGAAATGCTGGATTTATCCAAACACTTGCATTGTTGGCACTAATGACGTTCTTTTGGACCAATCGGTCCACTTCCAGTTTGGTGGTGGCTTCCTCGCGAGATTGCTTGAGCTTCATAGCCGCCGCAAGCTTCTTGGCTGTGGCACCAGGTGCTCTGCGGCCCCGTCTTTGAATCACCACTCTTTCTGCTGGTCCCACTGCCCCTGACTCCCTTTTTTGCAGGAGCTTCTGGGGGGTATGAGCCGAAATGGAACTGCGGTAGTTCTGGAAAGACTGCGCCTTTGACATCTTTTGGTAATCAGGAGCACTGATAAAGGTACTTGATATCACTCGATACACTGGAAGGTTGGAATCATCTTGCAATAAGGTAGTCATCTTGATAGCTGCAACAGTAGAGCAAGGAATCAAGTTGGAAGAAGTATTTGGGAAGAAATGTGAGCTTCCAGTTTGGTTTGTGCTGTTCCTTCACTACAGTATTCTTGGGCTGAATCAAAAGCCGGAGAAGCGGAGAAGTCCCACTTCGGGGCATATTTGCCCACTGGAGTACTCATCATTATTTTAAAATAGGAAGTTTCACAGCAGGAACAGGTACAGTACGCACGTCTTACAAGTCTTTACACTGACTCACTTTCTGGCTTCCGAAATTCGTTATAACTTTACATTACATTCAAGAACACAATAAATCTGGTATTTTTCTGGATTTATTAGAATCTCTGAGTACAGTGTACAGTACTTGACATCAATACATGTTACAACGAATCAATGGCATCTTTTCTGCGGAGTACAGTCTTACTACTCTTGATTGCTAAGTACTCAGCATTACAGTAACAACAAAACAACAAGGTTAAATCCGGTCATGCATTTAATTTTTGGATGATGGCGGTGAATACTAATAGCGGTACTGGTACTGGTACTGGTGACTGGAACGATAGTGGTAACGTGGTAACAGCGTACAGATACGGTAGCGGTAAACAGAGGTAAAGATAACGGATGGCATTGGTTAGCAGTGTACACATGGATGCCTCGCCAAAAACCTAATAACCTTGGTTGGTGTGCAATGATGAGCAATGCGTGGATATCTCCATACATAGCTACTAGTATCTCCATATCTCCATCCTCTCCAGTCACGGTTCGATTTTGACACAAGTACTAGTGACGTAAGAACTTTCTCTAAAGGATTTATGAATCATTTATTTTGCTGCTTCCCCATTTTTTAGGTGAAGCAGTACCAGTACCGGTCTAAGATCTCAGCCAGAAAGCGGCAATGCATCCTTCTTCATTGTTCTTCGTCCTTCAACTCTCGTTTTCCTTCCGGGTTGTGGTTGAGAGTCGAGTCTTTTGGAGACGTCACAGGAAGGTGTTCATTGCTGCTGTACCTCAACGTCCTCAACCCACACCCAGCCTCGACGTCGAAGGAAGCACCAACAATTGGGGCGGTGGCTCGACTGATGGTTGTGGTCTGGAGTACAGTACAGTACCGGTAGACTGGTATACGTAAGCACCAACAGGAAACAACAAGGGCGGAGCCGTCGACGAAGGGACTGTTGCCGCTCTTCTCTCGGATCTTCAATACTGCATCTCCACAATGGCCGCTTACGATGTCGCTCATGGTGTCGACTGATTGGCATCGAAGAAACAACGGCGGAGTCAAAATCCAAGCGTTAGTCTCTGGAATCTCGGCTGTGCCGATGAGAGAAGATCTTCTGTGTCCTCGCCACTCCACAATTTCTTTTTTGTCGGAAAGACGACAGCGGAAGCCGCTCATGGTGTCGGCTTGTCACTGGTCATGAGTGTGGTTGGCTGGAGGCAAAGAAAGGAACGAACGAGTTTTTCTTTATTTTGCAAACTTGCACAGCCTTCCATAGTACTGTACTGGAAGAACAAAGGACGACCATGGCGCTGTGGTTGCTTCATGTTACGGTGTGGGCTGCTCATGGTGCGTACGGCTGGAGTGAGAAACCTTCCGAAGAAAAGAAAAAAACGGCCGAGTCTAGAAACAAGAGCAAGTTTAAGGCGACCAGACCACACACAACACCAACAAAAAGGAAATTACTCAGCAATCCACACGGCAGTGTCAGAAGTTGCCGCGGAGGTGCTGGCGTCCGTCAACAGCAGGATTGGCCGCAGGAGCCACGATCTATCTCATTCAAGCAAGCAACTAGCAACTTCCTACGGTACGCACTGGGGAATGTAGCTACTCATTTGATATCAGTACCTGCATGTATCATGGTGCAGGCAACGTTCGTGTACCAGAGGTGTCCTCAGACAACATGACGGCACACAAACAACAATCCTGAGCCACGAGCCAGTAACGCAGGAACCAGGTACTGAAAACCGCTCTTGATATGCGGTACTTGTTCCTGCTGGCTATTTATTCCTCGCACGGGACCACCCAGAGGAGCTTGATATCTAACATAGATGGGATCCCACACACAACAACTCAGATTTTCAGGTGACACTATGATGCGGTTCTTAAAAAATTTCGTTACTAAAGGATGGTGTACTCTAGACCTTGAAGACTCTTGACATGGAGTCCCTGATGGTATTACTCAAGCTAGTGCCTGATGATGGTATCACTCTACATGCTGGTACTAGTTACTAAAGGATTGGTGTACTCTAGAGTGGTTTCATTTTGATTGGCGGCAATTTGGTGGTGGTACGGTAGACCCATGGATGATGTGGTGAAGAAACAAACCAAGAGATGATGGGGATAATACAATTAAAACCCACCTTGACGGCTCTTGCCATGACATGGAGTCTCTGATGGTATTAGTCAAGCTACATGTTGTGTCTGATGATGGTATTACTCTACATGTTGTACTCGACTGATCAAGTCTTATTTTACCTTCTCTGGCTGCACAGCCATCGGTCCGGTAGCTTTCATAGCAACTGTGTAGTGTAGAGTTCAGAGCAGGCTGCGGTAGCTACCGGTAGCTACTAGTAGACCTAGCTAGAGTAAATCTTAGTCAAGGAGCTCTGGGGAATGATCCTGGTAGATCTTTTTGGCGGAGAAGTCAAAAGTCATTTCAGCAAGTACCGGTGGAAGATGTCCATGTTGAATTTTTGTTACGGGTTCCTAATTGAAACATTGTAACTAGGTTTATGATAAAAAAAGCGAGTGACTTGAGAAGCATTTACTTTGGGAGTTCGTCATTGTTTTCGCCGGTACTTGCTCTGAGTATCTATTCTGAGTACTACCCAGGACCTCTGTGGAAGCGATAATTCAGTCATGGATTCGTCTACTAAGTCACCAATAGGAGACGTGCACGTCTCCTATAAGCGAATTAACGTCTCCTATAAATAAGAGACGTCTCTTATTTATGAAGAGACATCTCTTACTCGAGCCTTAGATAAAACGTAATTATCACGGCTAAGTCTCCTATTGCTTAGGAGTCGTATCCTTTAAATAGGAGACGTCTCCGATTCCGAAACCACCTCTCTTAAATCTCCTACGTCTCCTTTAGGAGACGCGTTAATTCTCCAACAGGCTTAACTACGATTCAATATTTCCACAACGGTCCTGAGTACGAGCTATGACAAATTTGAAAATGTATTATAGTAGATCTTTTTGGATAAATCACGAGTCAAATCGAGCAAGTACCGGTGGAAGATGTTAATGTTGAATTTCTCTTAATTAAATGTGAATCTCCTTTGGTTTTTCGCCGGTACTTGCTCAGTACATACCCGTACAGTACTCAGCATTACTAGATCTATTGGAATATTGGAATCACGAGTCAAATCGAGAAAGTGCATGGCCACGTTAATTAAATTTCTGTTACAGGTGCTCCAAGATACCCAGTAAGGGATAAAAAGAGAGAGGATCGAGAAGGGAGAAGGGACAACCAGAAACTCATCTCAGAGCCATCCCAATCAAAAGGGTTGCTCACATTTATTTCTTCCCAAGTAGCTTCCAACTCATTTCGTTTCTTTATTACTGTCCCAGCAGCTATCAAGATGGCTACCTTGTTGCAAGATGATTCCAACCTTCCAGTTTATCGAGTGATCTCAAAGACCTTTATCAGTGCTCCCGATTACCAAAAGATGTCAAAGGCGCAGTCTTTCCAGAACTACCGCAGTTCCATTTCGGCTCATACCCCCCAGAAGCTCCTGCAAAAAAGGGAGTCAGGGGCAGCAGGACCGGCAGAAAGAGTGGTGATTCAAAGACGGGGCCGCAGAGCACCTGGTGCCACAGCCAAGAAGCTTGCGGCGGCTATGAAGCTCAAGCAATCTCGCGAGGAAGCCACCACCAAACTGGAAGTGGACCGATTGGTCCAAAAGAACGTCCTTAGTGCCAACAATGCAAGTGTTTGGATAAATCCAGCCTTTCCTACTGCCCTCAAAGCCCAGAGCGAAGCGAGCAGGAGGCATCTTGTCATTGCAGCGTCAGAGTGGCACGATACTCCAACTGCTACTGGCAATGTGAGCAAAGCAAAGCCAGAAGAAATCTTAGTGCAAGTAGATATATCTTTGAAGGCAACTACAATGGACCTGAGCATTGCGTACACAAGCACTCACTCCACTTCAGGAGATATGCCAGACAAGCAGGCTGAATGGTCAGTATGCAATGCCAGCTCCCATGACAAACAACTGCGTGCGTCGCTCATGGGACTTGACTCCCGCTTCTGAAAACAACGAGCAACAGTGGCAACCGAGACAATGAATGTGCCTTCACTAAACCACGAGGTCCACACGGGGGTTCTATCGATGTGTTGCTTGCTGAAAGGACATGGCACCATGGATGTGTCCACAAGGATAGAGCCAAGTTTGAGGAGCCAAGAGTCTATACCCTCAAATATGCACAATGATGCTTAACAAACATAGGTGCTCAGGTTAACAAATGAAAAAGCATGTGGCGGAGTCCCATGATCAACCATAGGTTCCGCCACTTCGAAGTGCCCACGTACATCGCAATGAAGAAACACAATTAGCTACAGATAGAACATGTCCTTGTAAAGCTGTACTGTACTAGTTCACTCGACGGAGTACAAGTACTGGAGAACTGACTGTGTGGTGCGGCAATGGGAGGCGCTCCTGTGCCATACCGCCAACTGCATTGGCTGTACCGGTTCTGGAGTATTGGTCTCTCAAATGTCACAGATGCATGCGTTCAAGAGCAGCTGCCGGATCTCTTCCCTTAAGCTCCTTGTCTTCGGTAGTACTACTGACTGTGTGGCTCCGCTGGACTCCCCATAATATTATTTCAAATAGATGACGACAAGCATGTTGAAGCTCGGGCACTGGCTTTGGAACTCTCTCTGAGAACTGGCCCGATGATCCATATTGTGAGAGAATCGAATGATTCAATCCGGCATCCCGTGGTGCATGCGATTGACGGGATGTCTTTTGTCTCATCTTATCATTAGCGTAAAGAATTAGATCAGGCCACGCTGCCGCTACTTACTTTTGCATGGTACAATTCGTGGTTGGGTTTCTGCATCAACTGGAATGTTCCTCCAGTGTGCTACAATGTACTTCGGCCGACCTCTGTTATTGTCATTTGACTCATCCGTCCAACAGGCCGGCGTTGATGCCACTCTGTTCTGAACTCAACCATCACACTCTACAGCTGAAGTAGAGATTTTCATGATCTATCAAGTGAGACTGGAGCTCTCCTTCTCTTGCAGAGGAGCCACTAAATGGCTCTTCTGAACGTGCTGTTCGAAGGTGTCTATTTTAGCAGCTCTTTTAGCATACCTCCCCACTACTAGTAGCTACTAGTAGCTGCCGGAGTAGTCATGTTATCGGCAATGTCAACGATGATGCTGGTGGAGGTCTTGGGATCTCGGTTGGGTCCAAGGAACGAAGCGCAGCTAAATCGCTTGCTTGCTTCTTTTGAAGCTACAATGGAGCTCTTCGGCTCCATTGCAGACCGAAGATGGCCCGCAGAATCACCAGGGCTACAAGTTTCTCAGACCACCGTCACCATCCTAGCATTCACTTGTTTCCTTGGAATCGACCTCAAATCAAGCGTGCATGGTTCGCTTGTTTCAGCATTTTGAAGCGAACTGTTCAAGTTCGCACGAGGCAACAGAACTGTGGCTTGATGGGTTGACTCTGTCAATCCCAGTAAATTATTTAGTATACTCACTTTTTGCTGCAATTGATAAAAGGGTATTCTGCATGGAGACAAATGTCGCTGGAGGAAGGTCGCAACGACAAGGTACTGTATCTTTCTTTCTGACCTCGATGAAGAAGAAAATGCATGATAGCGGCGAGAGAATTTTAAATCGTGTTGGTGTCACTTGAGGAGCTCACCATCAGAGCCAGCCAAGAATGCACGACTGCACCCTTGAAAAAGCACTCCCGTGAACAAGCACCTTGTGTGTAAAAAATGCATCACCACCTCCCAGTTGAGAATCTGGCATTCGAGACCTCATGGCTGGCCATTGGGAAAGTCCCATGGAGCCAAGCATTGTTTAACCATCACCACTACATACCCAACGCAAAGAGGCTGTCTCCGGCTGAGTAACAACAAATCTTCACCTGGTCAGAACAGATTTCAATTCCCTCCTCGCACAATCTCGCTCCGTTTTCAAGTAGTCTACAAGAATAAGCTCCATTTCTTCCCCAGTCCTTCCAAGGTTATATAGCTTGAGCTATCACAATGGCTACTTTGTTGCAAGAAATGTTGCAAGAAGACTCCAACCTTCCAGTTTATCAAGTGATATCAAAGACGTTCATCAGTGCTACTGATTGCAAAATCATGTCGAAGTCACAGTCTTACCAGAACTATTGCAGTTCCATTTCGGCTCATACCCCCCAGAAGCTCCGGCAAAAAAGGCAGTCAGGGGCACCGGGACCAGTAGAAAGAGTGATAATTCAAAACCAGGGTCGAAGTGCACCTAGTGCCACAGCCAAGAAGCTTGTGGCTATGAAGCTCAAGCAATCTCGCGAGGAAGCCGCCACCAAACTGGAAGTGGACTTATTGGTCCAAAAGAACGTCATTAGTGCCAACACTGCAAGTGTTTGGATAAGTCCAGCCTTTCCTACTGCCCTCAAAGCCCAGAGCCAAGCAAGTAGGAGGCATCTTGTCATAGCAGTGTCAAAGTGGCAAGATACTCCAACTGCTACTGGAAGTGTTAGCAAAGCAAAGCCAGAAGAAATCTCGAAGCAAGTGGATGTCTCTTGGAAGCCAACTACAATGGACCTGAGTGTTGCATATGCAAGCACTCACACAACGTCAGGAGATATGCCTGACACGCAGGAAGAATGGATGAGAGGCAATGTCAGCTCCAAGAACACTCAATTTTGTGGTTCAACGATGGGGCTTGATTCCAGCCCCACCTTGAAGTACAGCTTCGGAAAGCAAAGAGCGCCAGTGCCCACCCCAGGACTACGCTTTCAGTAAAACACGAGGTCCACGGGGGTTGACCAATACGGGGTCTGCGGAAAGACATCAGATTACATCTCTCCCCATACCGGTACTGAAGGAACCAGTAAGAAGAGCCTATTGAGCACATTCTGACAACTGTAATCGATGCAAAACGAGGTCAATCTATACAGAAAGGTTTTCCTGCATGGGTAGCACCTGCTTTGAACAACGTGTTGCATTGAAGGTTACCTCGGCATATGGATGGACTGCAAATCACATGACCAAATGCCTGACGAAAGATCCTCTCATAGGGGCTTCAAGCGTCACCACAGAAGAAACCGACACTCTTTCAAGCCGGACCACTTCATGTCAACGACCATTGTTGCCGAGAGGGATTAGAGCCAAATTTGACGAGTAATTCCACTTTTTAACAGTATATCAATTATCTAATCATAGTTATAGGATGAACTCGGGGTCGTACCGCTACCATTGTCGAAGCAAGTAAGGAACCCACCACAGAACCGGTAGTACCAGTAGTTGTTGTGGGTCTGTTGCTGCCTCAAAGGACGCTCTGTGTGGTATGTGCAAGGAGAGAGGTGTCAAAGCTCCGGTGGGAAGAGCCATGCAGAGAAGGAGGGAACGGTAGGAAACGGAGAGAAATCCCAGGACAGACTGATTTTTAGTTTGTTTTACTGTTTTTTGATATTTTTACAGAATGGGTGTTTTATAAACATGACTGAAACCATAAAACGAGCAGAACCAACAATCAACCATTGCAGGAAGAAACCATAAAACTGCCATTTATTATTCGAGTAGACTAATCTAACGTTTCGGCCAAATTAACTTCCAAGATGTTGAAGCGAGGCAGGGGATGGGCAAATCTTGCTATAGGGCTGTAGTGTACTCAACAAGAGTGACTCAGAATGTCAGAAAAAGGATAAAATGAACATTTTGGCTGGAAGCAAGATTCAATTGGATTAGATTGCATTGGATTAGATCAAATTGGATTGAATTGGATTCCAATTGTACTTTTATTTGTATAGTAAAATGGAATTCAATGCAATCCAATTCAATTCAATCCAATCCGATCTAATCCAATAGAAAAATTGCAGCCCAAAACAAATATTCGCTTTTTCACATACACTTTTACAAAAAACGCTATCAATTACAATGCAGGGCTATGGGCAATTTTGCTCATCCCCGTACAAGAGTACCGTATTAGGGGGGTGGGGATCAGACCGTACGGTACCGGTACTACATTTCTGCAACAGTAGTTGCACAGCCTCAGTATGTGCTTCACACTACTACTTAGTGGATCTTACATACCCTCAGGATCCATGACAGTATGCTACGTAGAAAAGCTATGGTATCGGCAGTCATTGAAACAAAGATCCTCTCAATAAGACTCCCAATATTAAATAAACTGCAACATTGAAGATATAAGGACAGCCAATAAAGACCAACCACATACTGAGAGGATCCAATATTCGCTTAAGTAACACCAAACATACCATACCACTTGCCGATTCCGGTGAGATCCAAGAATCGTTCCGATCCAACCGTTGCAGGTAGGGTATACTCAGTTGATCCCGTGCCGCAAAGTAAGAGGCAAAAAAAGAATCCCGTGCTGTAAAGAGGCAAACAACGCAGAACTCGTGCCATGGATGGATGGATCGATCGATCGATCCCGTACTCTGGCTAGCTACTAGCTAACGGAAACTCCGTACGCCTCAGTTTTCCTCAGTTTCCTCAGTTTTCAGCTCATTATTTTCATTCCTTCAACTCTATAAAGGAAACTCTGCTAAAATTCCAACTCAACCAAAGGAACCAACAATTGCTTAGTTGACCAAACAATTCATCCACCATGGCCATGGCCAATGCTGGAGCAGCCTTTGGGTTGGAAGACGTGCCGGATTTGCCTGAAGCACCCACGGAACAGCCCAAGTACAACCGGGATTACCATCGTCTCTTCGTCAAATTCATGAGCTGGCTGCACAAGAGGACGTACACCAAGGCGGCTCGCTTCCAACCTAGTGCTTTGGCCGGCATCCAACCACACCACGTTGCCGACTACTTGAAATGGCGTGCGTATGGTACGACCGATGTTGACTTCAAAGATCTTGAGCAGAATCCAACTTGCCGCTCCTCTACTCTTGAGCAAGACAAGAAGGCTATTTCCTTCTACATGCCCATCAAGGTGCCACATGGAATGGAACCTCCGGCAATCCAACCAAGTCCGATCCTGTGAACGAAGTGGTCAAGGAAGTCAAGAAAGCGGAGACTCAACACCGCGGCAAGAAGTCCTGTGCCACCAGGGATTTGACGGAAACAGAGTATCGCAAGGTGGTCCATGAACTCTACGGCAAAGGGAGCTTTGAATCGACCATCCGTACAGCCTGCATGTTGAAGCAGCAAGTCCATCTCATCACCAGGACGGATGACATCTCCAAGTTGAAGTATTCCGACTACAAGCCGCATCCAGACTTCCCTTTTGCGCTCAGTTGCAAGGTGCATTGGTCCAAGAATATTTCGGAAGAACGACAATGCCCCGACCAAATCATTCTTGGGTCGATGGATACCGACTTTTGTGCTATGCTCGGATTGGCGAATTACATGGAGGCGTCCTTCAACTACGGGTATGGCGCCGCTGGTCGGGAAGATGCATTCCTCTTTACTCCCGAAAGCGATCCCAAGTTGGCTCCCAAGCACTGCAACGCAGCCTACCGCAACATTCTCAAGGCTGTCTTTTTGTCGGCTCCATTTCTGGCTGTGGCGCTCCTCATTGCTAGTGTTCTTGGGAGTCACAGCATTCGGAAGTTTGCTGCAACTCTGGCAAGAGGGATGGGTGCTACTGCTGACGAAGTTGACATTCGAGGTCGCTGGAAGGCTCGCTTGTCTGGACGGGTTGTTGATGCCTACATTTCGCCTGAACAGCCCTGGATCGACGCTCGTGTTGCCGAAAAGCTTGCATGGGGGCTCTATTGCCTACAAGCTACACCGGATGCCAAGAGAGTGACTCCCGACTGGTTGATTGAGCATGTGGTGCCAAGGACACACGCCTTTTACGACGGTGTCAACGACATTTCGCTTCACTTGGCTCTGCCTCTGTTGTGGGCTGCTCTTGACGAATCTTGGGAGGAGAGGATGGAGCCTCCGTTCGTGTTAGGATCCAAGATGCGTACGAGCGCATCAAGGCCGATATTCCTGTTGGCATCAACCCTGTGGTGAAAGTGCCTCTCTCTATTTGGACGCACAACACCAAGCTCCACATCAATGAAATCGAGCCGATGGATACGGGAGGCGGCGGTGGCACGGCTGGTGGCACTACGGAACGACCGGCCAGGCAAGCACTCGTCAAGTTGCCAATCAGTCGCGGCAGGTGACGGCTATGCAAACGCAACAACAGGTACGAACGAACGAGGAGATTCTGACAAGGATTATTGCGCAGCACAACCAGCTCCAGCAGCTCATAGCGCAAGAAGGTAGGACCCGCGACAGTTCGGCTGCTGCTTTGAGAGGTTGGTTGGAGACTTGGCTTGGCGCGGAGCTGACGAAACTCAATGGAAATATTTGCAGGTAAGTGTGACTTGTGGCTGTTGGCTATTGCAACTATGGCTATTACTGCTGCTAACTATGTATTTTTGTATGCTTTTTAGGATTGCTGTTCAGCCTCCAAGGATGGCAACACCTGATCAGGTAGATGGTAATCTTTTTAGAAATGGGTTGACTGTGGAAAGGACTCGCCGTGCGACGGGATACAGCTTACAATTCAGCTTTACACTTTACATTTGCAGGCTTATTTAGAAAATTAATCAATATACTGCTCACTTATTTGGAAACAAACTTTACATCTCTTTAGATCGTAGATTAGGACAATCCACAATGGTATTGTCCCTATGGTAGCATGCGAGGTTATGATGATGTCACTCATTTCTTATTTCTATATGTCATTCCTTATGGTTGTCAATGGAATGAGCTATTCCTTTTGATGCAGAGTTCTGAGTTTCCTCTCTTATTCTTTCTCGGTAGTCCTTCCCCTTATTGAAACTTAATTCCCTTGGATTCGCTCGTAAGCAATCCTCCTTTTTTGCGTGATTCGCTCGATAAGCAATCGCAACCATGGAATCCTACAGGAGTCCACTTTCATCCTGTCGTTGATCGAAATCGCGATGAGGATCCGCATACGTTATACGGTGAACTCCTATCCGTGATAGCCATGCATCATCATCATCGTCGCGACAACAGAGTTCGCGATCGCGAAGAATCGCGATGAGATCCGCCTACGTTATACGTTGGACTCCTATCCGTGATAGCCATGCATCATCTCATGGTCTCGATCGATCGATCACAAGTTAACAGATCGATCCAAGTTAACAGATTTCATCGAAAAATGAGCTCGAATCTCATGAGGCTCGGCCTGTGTGTATGCATTTGGTATGCTTCGGACCATTCACCCCTTCTATTAGTGGATTCGAATCCGGAGCTTAAGTCTTTTATTGAGTCATGCTTCAGTTCCTCACTTTTTCAATTAACTCGACGGAGAGGTACACTGATGTTGTTTTGAACACGGAACGACGATCCATCGCTCGGGTTACGTACGTATCGAACAACAACAAACTGCCGATCGATAACAACAAGCTGCCGATCGATAACAACAAGCTCAGTCTACCTAGGACTGAGCATTGGTCGTTTTGCCTGGCTTGCACGATAAACTGGCTTGCAGTTGGTCGTTTGAACTGTCGCTTGAAGTACTCGGAGGATTCGCTCGCTCTACAACAACACGAGCGATCGGCTTTGAATTCAAACTCGACGACGAATCCACTAGCGTTGGTGGATCCTTCGAAGCTCCCTTCTAAAGCTCATAAATTCCATCTTCATGACTCGATTTGACTGGTATCCACCGGCCTCCTCTTGTTGCCACTGCTGTCCTCTGTTGACTGTGTTGACCCTGTTGATTTGCACTGCCTCTATTTCATCAGCTATTGATGGACTGACGACGCTTCTCTGCTTCAGCATCTCATCATCATCATCTTCAACTTCTTCAACATGTACCACACCAGCGCCATTCTTCATTCTAGAAGGAATTGTCCAAGCTTTCTTTGAACAGATCCATGAGCCACTATCAGAACCACCATGACTGCAGCAACATTGACCGCCAGTTCAGTTCCAGGAGCTCCTCCACACATTGGAAAACCAAAGATAAGACCAAGCTACAGAAGAACCCGCGACTGAGGTATCAACCACACTGGAGCCTGGACAGGTCTGGGTCAGATGGACTGGGAAAAGGAACCTCAAAGCACCCTATGCCTCAGGGGTTTCCATGGTGACGACCATCTGAAACAACACACCAAACTCCAGCCTATGAATTGCATTCAAGAAAGGAATGAAGATTACACCAGTCTACTATTTCCCACTCTGACTGAGCCAATGCTTCTGGGTCTCATGTGCTAGCCTCTCTTATCGCCTTTGAAAGTATGATGACAGCATGGAATGGAAGGATTCAGCTTGTTGTTGGATACCTTAATACCAACACTATTAATAAAATCAACATGTTCACTGCTCCTGGACAGGTTTCAGAATCTATGATGGAAAAATGGCATCAGGATATCTCTCTTTTTTTC